GTCCGATATAAAATATTTCACATGAACCACAAGTCAGATTGTATAAAATATTACTGGAGTTTTTACCCAACACCAAATCGTTATTTTTAACACCTCGACACGTGTTTCGATCATCAAGTGATCATCTTCAAAAAGGAAGATGAAAACTAAGAACTATTATAGTGCGAGCTAATCTTATTTATGCTATAAAGGTTACTCATACAGGTAAACCATCCAGGCGTACCAACCATACAGGTACACCAACCCAAAATAATTTTAAAATATTGCCTTATCTATTATTTTACAATATACAGGGTGTTCCTCAAACACATGCTAATATTTAAGGAGGTAATTCTTAGACCCATTTTAAGAAAAAAACTTCCTATGGACGTATGTCCTAAACGCCTTAACTTTTGAGATACAGGGTGGCAAAGTTTTCAAAAATAATCTGTTTTTTAATAATAACTGAGATAATTTTGTAGACATCTTTGGCATATTTGGTACATATGTTCCATGCCTCAAGGCGCATTTTCTGATGTACAATTTTATTAATTTTCTCTGCCAGTGGCGTACGAACGAGTTTTGAAATGTATATTTTTGGCGAAAAAAATACTACGCCACTGCTTCATCTTGAGTTGAAAATTATTTTTAAAATCTCCATACATTTTTGAGCACATTTGATTTGCTGGGTTTTCTTTGTCCGACGCATGGTTTTCGCTCAAAAAATTAAAAATCGCTTTACTTAAGGATAAATTCCTTAAAAATCTGATGCGGTATCGTGCATCGACTGAAAGCAAACTAAGAGATCAGATTTGTTGCAAAATAATTGAGGATCTAAAAGGTATTTGTTTGTTGTCAGATGCACTGTTCTCAATTAAAATTACGTCATAACGCAGCACCGCTTAATAATTTTTGAAAACATAAATTTAGTTATCCTGGAATAAATGACGTGTAGCAGAATTTATTTACTGCACCTCTTGGAAATATGGAGTTTGTCGATATGTGATTTCTTTTAAAGATTAAAAGCAGAAAAAACAGCGTACCCACCATAGCAATAAAAAACGAATTCTCTGTATGTACAAACGTCAGTAGCTAATATTAAAGTAAGGTGTTGGTGTTAAAAACTGTCACAGCGCGTTTTGATTGATTTTGAAGTGTTATTGAAGTTATTTTGGTAGTCCGCTGTTTTTCTGAATATCAGTAAATATGGTAAATTATACGAATGCGGAAATGGCCCAAATGCATTACGTATATTACACAACCACAAATTTTCTCGAAGGATCCCAAAAATATATTTTGAATGATGAAATTGATGAAATGCAAGCATAAGTAAAATCTGTTTTGGATGATGAATCCATCTCGTACGATACTCACAACTTCGGCTTTCTTTACCTTCCAAATATATCATTCTCAATCAATACGCGCTATCAAGTTTCAAACAGCGGGTGTTAATGCGATCTTGTCAACGCCCGGGAAGAAAATAAATTGCCGACAACATTTTCAGTCGCTCCAGAAGACAGTATTATCAGCGGATCGTACCCGTTGATTGCCAGAATATAATTAAGAAATCGCGGGTTCTACTGTAATAGATTATCTGCTGGGACGGTATAAATGATCATTAATTGAGATCCCGGCGAAACGGCGGACCATTTCGAAGATGGGAATCCCCGATACGAAAGGACAGAATTGATTGTTAGGACGGTCATTAACTGTGTACTAGATGGGCTCTGCGAGTTGTCTGGAAATGTCTTGGCTCTAATCCCAGTAAGAACTCGGGAAGTATTACGGGTTTTCGGTAATTGAAAAGTTGTAGTTCGAAACGAAATATCTGTAGGATGTGCCATTTTTTTATTTATAACACGATAAAAATCCTTTTTGATACACATCACGAAATTAAGAAACGAGTTTAACCGCATGACGTTTGGACTTCGCAGTACGCCGGAAACATGGCAATGGCTTATATGCATCAAATATCAAATTGCAACAATTGTAACAGCTTACGGCAACAGCTTACGGTATTTGATCAACGTCTTTAGTTGTTCAAACAGTTTTATCCGTTTTGATGTCATGTGTTTCGTAGCTTCATATCTCAATAAATATTCATTCTACGTTGTCTTGGTGTATACTGATCGATAAAGAATTTTGTACTGTATAAAATAATGCTGTTGATTTTTTCTTCAAAATTTAATTTTTTGCACCTTTTCAGCTCAGAACTATATGACGTCGTTGAGCGATTTCCACCCAATTTTTCTCTACGAATTCAAATTGAACCGAAACAGCCCAAAAATTAACCAGGCATTCGGCAATGATAGTGTTAATGAACGAACTGTTCGAAGTTGGTTTGCGAAATTTCATTCCGAAGATTTTAGCCTCAAAAATTAGCCCTGGGGTGGTCGACCTACAGTAAGCTAGGACGTGGACTTGAGGACGCCGATGAAGACCGACCCATCACAAACGGTGCGTGGTTTAAAACATTTTGGAAAGGTCGAAAAGCTCCAAAAGTGAATTTGAATGATCCACATAAATTGTCGTGTTTCAAGGTCTGTTCTTCTTTGCTTTTGCGCAACCCAAACGATCCTTCTTTGGATCGGATCATCACTGAATCCTCTACAACAGCACGAGACGTTCAGGACAGTGGTTAGGCACCGATGAAATCGTCAGCAAAATTTGTGACTTGTCCGGTGAATTTACTGTAGTCAAAGAATTGAAAAGCAGGTCCAGGAATTGATCCTGGTAGTACTCCTTATATTATTACTTTAACTAGTGATCTTCTCATGTACCAATATTATTTTCTATTTCTGAATTCAACTACATAGCTAACAGCGTGTTTTTGATACGGCTACAGCATAAAATGAGCATTTGGAAAGTTCGAACACTATTGTTTCCACCGTCTCCAATTGAATGCTAGAAACAAACTTGCTGGAGGATTTTGCGTTAGCCTTCAGCGTACTCACCTGGCCTAAAACAAGTTAACGAACGCAATCGTCGATAAACCTTGTAGGATTCGACTATTATCTTGTCTAGTCTAGCCCTTTATCTATTTATGTGTTTTGTTATATGAAATCGCAATTAGCGCTCTTGTTAGAAATGCACGTTTGGGCGTTATCAGAGCTATTAGTTATAGTTGATAAAGTATGTGTTTATACATGAGGGTGTAGATTAGGTGACTCCATTATCATTTCAGTTCGATACTATCGGCTTTATGCGTCCATGATTATCAGGGATTATCCACTCTCACTATTGCAATGAAGGAGAACAGTGGGGAGGAACAATTTTTGTGATTAAAATTATTGAAATCACGATTTTACGGTGAATCTACTTCCGAATAGTTGGCGGGAAGGCTTTGGATTTTTGTGTTCTCTCCAGGACTTGAAGAACGGATAGCAAGATTCGTTTTTCTCAAAATCCCGGAGGTCGGGTCCCGACTGAGTCTTTTATATGTCCCTGGATCGAGTAAGACGACAATTTTCTCATTATAATCTTTGGTGTTCATAACGACGGTAGCATTCCCTTTGTTAGCAGGCAATACCAATTTATTTTTATCTGTATTGAGATTCTTCAGCGCCTTTCGTTTCCGTCATGTTGTGTTGGCCTTGGGTGATTTTGCGCGCATAAGAATCCTCGACGTTCTTGAATCCCCAAACATAAACGGGCTCTAATTTCAACTAGTTGCCTTGCACTGAAAGCTGCAGAGAAAGATCGAGAACGAATATCTTTTTCACGAAATTTCATAGATTACAAAAAATCCCATATGAGGTGGACTTCTAGTGTGCCCCCCAGGAATATATATATAGGATCGGCCCCTGTTATTTAAAGAGAGTTCATGAAAAAACCATTCTGCATAGTCGCATTCATTGCTGTGCAATCTTCCAATCACGTGGGTTATGAATTACATCAGGAGTGTCCTATATGTGTGCCCGTTGACAACTTGATAGGCGTAATTTTCGACGGCAACGTTGCAGGTCGTGTTTCATTTTAATTACTGACGCGTGTACGTATGGCTAAGGTCACGTGACTCCGATACATTCATAATAAACCCGAGGATGTGGGAGGATTCCTGAATGGTAATGCACCTTCCCGCATTTTCATTCCGGTGTAGCAGGTGTGGTTGTAAAATTGGTATCACCTCCCTGGCAATGTTGCCAATTTTTCTAGTCTCCACAGAACATTGTAGTCGCCAGGGCGTATTGTGTTCACATCTTCTCACGACACCTGATCGTAAAATCTTGATGCCACAACTCCTTGGAAATTTATATCAGAGTAAATAACCTTGATCTGTTCGAGAACTTGAACAATCTTCGTTTCATATCGGACTCCTCTCTCTATTCCAATAGCCACATCAGTCTGCCTTCGCCAACTCGAAACTAGTTTATTAAAAGAGGTAAAATCATCTGAGTTATTAGTCCTTTTCCACGTAAACTACGTCAACATGATATATAGTCCTTCGATTTAGGGTTTGAAAAGACATCATGAATCAGGGCCGCTGAGGGAAAATCGCTTGGCTCAATATTTACAAGAGACAAATAATTTCTACCAGCAAATTGTTCCATAATATCACAGAAACAAAGAAGCCACCATATCTTTATGATGAAATAACCTTCCGGACTAACTTATGATGCACTGTTTGGAACCTCAGTAGTAGTGAATATTACTGAAGTTTTTACCCAACACCAAACCGTTATTTCAACACCTCGACATGTGTTTCGATCACCGAGTGATCAAAGATCAAACAATGTGTAATTGTTTCAATGATTCGTTGATTCAGGGAATCAAATGATAATGGAAACTATCACACAGTGTATCTGAAATGTACCATCAAAAGAAGAGTTGTACAAATGGTTGGAACTCCTCAGGGAGCAGTTTTGGACCTGCTTATGTTTCTGATTTATTGCAATAATATATGTATATATGTTTTTTTTGGACACTTTTATATGGATCATGAAGGTAATACAGTTATGTAAGATTCATCGCGAAAGTCATGCATATATTTCACAGTTCGGAATGTTTTCATGATTCCTTACCTTTCTGCGGCCACAGCAGAGCATGTTGCGCGTGCGTGACCGACCGGAGGAGATCTTAGAGCGTGCCAATTTCCGCCACTGCATACCAGATCAGCTCTGGGATGTCGCCCTGAAAAAAAAATCACAGTCAATTTATCTAACAGTTATTGTTATACTATAATGCAGCTAATGGTTTTCGTTTTTCGGGTCGAATACTTTGGAAATCCGAAACATCAAACAACTCTTAGAATTACTTGTGAAAGTTGGTCCTCATCAGTACGGTGTAGCCAAGATTAACAACATTTGATTTCAAGAAGAAGCACATCTAGCTCGCAACACTGTTGATGGATTTGCTTTTTTGTGTTAATATCAGGTAAAAATTTCACGTATTTTCTTGTGAACACAAGAGATCTTTCAACGAACGCTACAGATGTGTGGCTGGCTTCTGTTGATGACTCTGTGCATCTGTTTTTTTCGACATTCGCATCCATCGTAGGAGACAATTTCAAAATTTGAATGACAACGAAATCAGGAGATACAATGTGGACATCTAAATTTTAATTACACCACTGAGAAGCAGAAGTATCAAAGATATTTGTACGCTGAGTGTGAACTGTGACGCATCGCTTGTGTTGAAGGGAGAAGCGCCGCCATTTTGAGGTTATTTTGCTGCGTTTTTGCCGCCATCTTGAGATTATTTTGCTGCGTTTTAAGTTTTCCATTTCGTAGAACTTTTGGCTCGAGGAAGCTTCAATATTCGTTTCAAGTTTCATTGGTTCCATTCGATTGCATATATACGCTAATGACCAATGAAACTTCCTCATTTCATTTTATATGACTTTCTGGATGAAAATGTTAACCAGGTTTACCTGTGAAGACAAGAGATGTTCCAACCAAAACCACAGATGTCTCATTAGCATCTGTTTTTTCTACAGCCAACTGTTGCTGAGTACAACATTTATTTTTTATTAACATTTTGTAACTATTAGGTCCATGTGTGATGCACTCACTCTTTTTATCGTTGAAAGTTTTAGAACGTACAACTTTTTTCTTGTGGTATATTTCTCAGTTCGTGTACAAACCTGTCAATACCTGCTTAATATCATTCACCTGAATTCCATTTGTACTCTAATTTGGTCGTAATTCTCATGATTTCCACAATAATTATACTCCCGTATATATTATTTTTCACGCAACAAATGATGCTGATGATTGATAGAGCCGAAAAAGGGGGTTACGTATATTTTTAATTGAAACAAAACCAGGGAGAGCTTGTTCTTTGTTGTATTAATCCCTTGACGTTTTCCCGACACATTTCATCGGGAATTTTAATTATTTTTGTGAAACCTGTGGAGGTATGTTACGAGTTTGGGGATTGAAAAGAATTTTGCTTTGAGCCAGACAGCGAAAAATGGTGTGATTAATGGCCAGTCATTGCAAATGCAAATTGTGTTTTCCTCATTGCGGCTTCATTCTGTTCTCACACTTGTAATGGACTGAAACATTACATTATTCACATCTAACTACCATAACTGTACGTGACTTAACAAGAATACTTTTCAAATAGATCGCGGTTGTGATCAAGAGTATATACAGGATCATATTCCTAAAAAGTTTCACACGTCTCGTCTACTGTTAGAAAATAAATTCGTTTCATTAGTTAAATTCCCACCAAACACAGATTGAAATTATTCATGAAATTCATGTTTTTAGCAAAAACATCGCATGGGATTTAATAATAAGCGTTTCAAGAGGCTTATACGATCTTTGCGAAAATAAAACTTTTCGGTCTTGTCTAACTACCATCCGACGCCAAATACCTAAATTAACGCCCGAAAAACACACATGCCGACAGGAATAATTTAATATATTACCAGATTCACGTGACTGGATCTGATTACAAACACGACAATTATCACTGCGAAATTCAGTCCTGGATAATAATCCGGATAAGAGTGAGTGTTTTCGAAATATCTTTAAGATAGATATAAAACAATCAGGTTTGACAGAGAACCAAATCCATTGAACGTTGAAATTGTGAAGGTGCATTGCATAGTCCGAATGGCAAACTGATTTAATATACATATTACCAATGTAAAATTGAAATTTTCACTTATTTTTTTAACGAATAATGACTACTTTTCAGTAACCTTCCGTCGAATGCAACAATCTAGGTTGCGTAAATGTTGATCAATCTTTTTAGTAAACAACACTACCAACGACTACATTATTCTTTCATCACTTCTCATATATTTCATGAAGGAAAATGATTCTTGTTGCCGCATTGCCGATTCTTCAGCCAAGGAAGCGGCTGGACTAAGAATTATAGGACCCAGTGGCACCTACGGCCTGATGACTTCGACAATTGCGGAACTAGTCGAATGTTACACCCATGCTCAACCCCTGAAGAGATGGGATGCAATCTTGCCAGGATCACCCTTGGCTACCCTGGAAAGCTGGCGTAGAAGAAATATCTGGCGATGACCAAGAAAAGTCTACACTTAACAGTAGGATTTCTAACTAGCCACTGTCAACTAAGGAAACACCTCCATAATATGGGGCTAGTGGACTCACCTCTATGCATGATGTGTGAACTGGAAGATGAGACTGTCAGGCATGTCCTATGCGATTGCCCGAAGTTATCGTCAATAAGAGAGTGTGTGTTCGGCGAGTCTTGGCCTACACCTGCCGATATAAAGGAGATGTCTCCCAGTGACCTGTCCACCTTCCTGAAAAGGACAGATTGGACGAAGACCTAGTAGGACAACTCCTCGGGAGGATGAACAATGGGTCACATGTAGTTCAAGTGCTGTGGGCTTACGCTCAACCTCCCTACTGTACAGATACAGATAGTCCTCTGAAAACCAAATCCATTGAACGTTGAAATTTGGAAGGTGAATTGCATAGTCCGAATGGCACATTGATTTAATATATTACCAATGCAACATTTAAATTTTCATTCATTGACGAATGTTGACCACCTTTCAGTAATCTACCGTCAAATGCAACAATCTAGGTTACGTAAATGTTGATCAATCACTTCTCATATATTTGAAGAAGGAAAATGCTTCTTGTTGCTTGAAGTAGAGCAGATTTTATTAGTTTTTCCTACCGCAACCCTCCGATATTTTCTCTTCTGGGGAAAGTTTTTTCTTGAATGAGTCTACGAGTAGAGGCTAGCAAGTATCCTTTGAAGAAAGTCACTCTCCTTTTCAGTTCAACAATGAATTTATGGTTACCTGTAACCTAACCTTTTGTTTACCACTATTATTGTTGGTACTTTTTGTAGACGACCTTGCTACAAATAACTCCACCACAGAACTGCTAGATTGTTGTCATTACTTCGCCCAAGTCATCACTTCATGAATTTATCTTTCCTATCACCATCTGAAGGGTTTTCCAACAGGGACCTCTGGAGCTACATCTGTCAAATTGAATTTTGTGCCTGTTTTCAGCTTATTGCTATATGATATCGTTGAGCGATTGTCGGCCAATTTTTCTCTACGAATTCGAAGTGAACCAAAGCGCTGCCAAAACAGCCAAAACAGGCAAACCCCCCCCCCAAAATGGGTACTGTATGATGGTCAGCGGCTGGTGTAATTCACTATATGTTTCTGCAACCAAGCCAATCCGACCTATCGTGAAAAAATCGACGAAATGTGTCAGCAGCAGCCAACACTGGTCAACAAAAGTTCTGCCTCAGCCACCATATTGTCCAGACCTCCCGTCAACCTGTATCTTTTCAAGCACTTCGCTAACTTCCCCACTGGTGGCACCTTCTCCAATCAGATACAGGCAAAAACAGTCTTCGTCGACTTCATCGAATCCCTAACACCAACTATTGTGCTAACGGAATATAATAACGTATTCCAAAAACACTTTATTGTGAGATTTTCACTAAATTGTTTTACAAAAACGCAACACGTGTTTCGCCATACAATGGCTTCATCTGGCGTGTCTTTCAACTAATTCTACACATTCAATACTAAATATATATATAGTTTATGGAGAGTACCTGAAATCAAAGTACCTGTAAACGAAGTACCTGAATTTTAAGTAGCTGATATTTTACCTGAGTTTCTAACGAATTAAATTACCTGCACTTATGTTCCATTTTCACATTTGAAAAAATATATTCAGTAACGGAGAGTTATTGAGTTCTAATTGATCATTCAGTAAATTACCCGAATTCCTGAATCTATTGATTTCTAAACATTCTAGATGATTAAGTTTCAAACTCTTCTCTTCTAAATGTAACACCTCGTACTCATGATTGAACTCGTGTCCTTCTGCTAAAAGATGGTTTGCAAATGTGGAATTGGTCTTTCTATTTACAAAGCTACTCCTATGTTCTTTAATTCGTTGGAAAAATGTTCTTCCTGTTTGCCCAATATACAGTTTTGGACAGGAGCCACAAGTCAGCTTATATACTCCTGATCTATCCGACACCAAAGTTTTGTCCTTATTGTTTTTAATAAATTTACTTAGGTTATTATTCGTTCTATAAGCTACGTTTACGCCTTCTTTCTTCAAAAAACGGGCAATATTCCTGTTTGGTTCCCCCACATATGTCAATGTCTTATAACTCACGTTATCGCATCTTGAATATGGGTAGACCAGATCCATGGCTTGCTTTTGTCGTTTTTTGGAAAGAATGGAGTTTACAATATCTACCTTATAACCGTTATTAATCGCGATTTGTTTGATCAAATTCAGCTCTTTCTGGAAATTCCTATCAGATAGTGGAATATTCCATAATCTGTGAATCATTCTATTGAATGCAGCAACTTTATGCTGGTACGGGTGTGTGGAGGAATTATGTATGATAATGTCCGTGTACGATGGTTTGTGGAATATAATAAGTATTCCTTGAGAGATTACAGTTCAAAGTAGACTCATCAACTAGTACGATCAACTAGTATTTTTTCTCTATGAATGAATGTATTTCGCAATGAAACTACATGCGATATGTAATTATAGTAACGGCAGACGATAAACAAGGTGAAAAAGCGCTGTAATAAATCCAAAGTTAGAAATATGGTGTCAGTCGGAAACAGAGAGAAAGTTGCAACTGTACTTCATTATGTCATAAAGCGGGGTGTAAATGTTGTTTATGGGCAGCAAAGCTTA